CCCCGCGATCCCCCTCTACCTCCACGAACCGCCAACGCTCCTTCCATCTAGTGAGCTTTCGGAACTCCGCGGGGCCCATGGGGGTGTCCATGACGGCGTATCCCTTCCCTGGCGCGTCTCCGCAGTAGGCTCGATCCGAAGGCGGAACGGACAGCCGTGCCTCGGCCAAGAAAACGAGCCCCGCCATCATGCGGAACTCACGCTTCACCTGGCCAGGTAACTCACACGTACGTCCTTGGCTGTCGTTCACAAACCGATAGGCGTGGGCAAGGACAGACATCGCCGGCCTGAGGAGGACAAGGTAGTGGATGCAATGACCCAGCAAAACACGAACTGCCTCTCCAGTCACCCGACGCAACTTCAGAAGATACTTAATCCCAAGATACAACCGCCACGCCCTCTCAGGCTTGTGACGAATGTTGCACCTGCTCTTGTCTATCACGATGCCCACATTCTCGACCAGCAGGGCGTCCCCGCCCTCCTCGTGCAACGTGAACCCCACGCTCTCAAGCTCCCTCTTGATCGCAGCGTAATCTGACGAAACCTCGGAGCACGAGAGACCGACTGTGGCAAGGTTATCCACATAGACACTCGAGACGGGACCAGATCGAATATCAGGAGCGGGAAGCCCCTCTTGCACCAGCCGATGCTCCCCCCCGATAGCCACGGAGGTGAAGTGCTTCACCGAGGTGGTGCAGAAGTGCAGGGCCCAGGACCAGCCTTGCGGCATCCCAAGAAAGACAGGCGACACTTTCTCCGTGGGCCGGGCAGGGCGAAGCCTCTCGAGGTCGTTGTCGAAGATCTGCGAGAGGCCGAACCTCGGAGCATCGGACGGGGTCGTCTAGGCCGAACCACTCGGCCATCGACTCGACCGAGAACTGATAGAAGGCGTCCTCCACGTCACCAACACAGGCGGAGAGGTTCGGGACCTCGGCAATCGGGCCACACCCCTGCGCCAAGCTGGCGAGCTCATCCTGGTCGAGCCAACCGTCGAGCTGCGAGAGGGCGCCAGCTCCCCCTAGTCTAGTCTTCGGCGGCAAGCGGTGGTGGCCGTTCGGCATCCGGGCGTCCACGATAAGCCTGATCCCACGACGAGACGACTTCCGCACAAAGAATATCCCCACCTTCGCCTTGATACGGGTTCTGAACCCCAGGGGTCCCTTGTCATAGAGCTTGCGGTAGAGGTCGAGCCGCGCCGACCGATCCTGTCGCAAGTGGGGGTCCCAGTAAGGCCTGAAAGTCGGGTGCTCCTCATTCCAGGCATCGATCTCGGGTTGCGAGCGAACGAGGTACCTATCTGGATCAATCAAGAAGGCCGCCTCCTCGGGCGGCAGCAAATCGACGGCGGGCTTTGGCGCCGTCTTGCCCTTCACGACCTTCAGAAGATCGGGCTGATACGGGGCGAGGTTCTTCTCCCCAGCGCAGTGCAGGTCATTTGCCTTGAGAAGCACCCAGAAGGCTTCCCGAGCAGTCATTCCAGCCGGCATCGGCCCATAACTACCAACGACGTCTCGAACACGATTCATCGCAGCAGCCTGGGTGAAGGAGAGGCGCGGCGGTAACGAAGTCCCAAGCCAGGCACCTCCTGAACGAATCGAAGAGGCGGTAGAGGCAGCCAAAGTGTTCAGGCTGCGCACCGCTTCGGCAATCCTGAGCTGCCTGCTTCTTCGAACAGTTAACCCGAGCGCTTCACGGTGGGGACGGGGCCCGCGATCACCACGTCCAGCAACGGAAGGCACTGGCAGCGGGAACGGATCACCATGCTTGGGCCCGCCTCCTCTGTCCAAAAACTCCCCACTTAATACTCGGGAGGCTCGGCAGGGAAGTGTCTCATCCTTGCCCCGCGGCGCCGAGGCGGTCATGATGTCTGCCCCTCCTGCTGGCCAGCAGGAGAGGCCTTTGCCTTCGCCTCGGACTTCAGGTCGGGAGGCCCATCACGATCGTCAGAACAACGGCGCTCGGCGGCCAGCACCTCACGCCACTTCCGTTGGACCTCCATCGTCTTGGCCTCCTCCTTCTGCTCGCTGCCGAGCCAAGTGTCGTAGCCGTGCAAGCGGGCCCTGCCGATCTCGTCGTAAGACCCGATGGTGCCGATGTTCAGGCCTGCAGAACTGGGATCACGTTGAACCTGCTGGATCACGTGGAACCCGAGCACCGCCTGCTCGGTGCAGGCGACGTTGGTCGACTCGATCTGGTCGTAGCCGATCTCGAGCCTCACGATCTGGACTAGGTTCCGAAGCACACGTGACACGGACGAGTTCTCGCTGACCCCAGACTTAAGCATGAGAGCGTCGAACCACACCTGAAGGTCACCGCCGTTCTCAAGGTCCGACTCGGGAAACTCCTGGATAGCCTTAGGCCCAGGATGAGGCCATCCTGCGAAAGCCTTGGGCGTCACAAGCTCCATCGCCTCCGACAGCGGCAGCACTTGCCTTTGCACAGAGTTCAGGAAATGGCCAATCAGCCGTCGGTCGCCCGAAGCACCGCCAGGCAGCCGACCCCACTTCCGAGCAAGCCTCGCATCGGGGTCTGAGCCCTTCACAAGCTCGACCAGCTGGGTGTTGCCGTCGATGAGAGCCAACCGCTGAACTCTGACACCATCATCGCGATCATCGGTGGAGTCAGCGAGCCTCGCGGCAGTGACGACCTGATCGAACTCAGCCGACGAGGGGTCCGCCACACGCCAGCTGGGGCCAGCCACGCCCCCCGCCCCTGGTGCAGGAGCAGCCCCCAGCACCTCAGTGATCTCGCGCGCCTGCTCGTGCATGGTGGCGATCCGAGCAGGGGTTCGCAGCGGCCCTCGAAACACGTACATCGTCGCACCCGGGTCGACCTGGAAGGACACGCTCGGAGCCAGCGGCCGCACATCATCCCCATTGAAGCCCCCCTCATAGTCATCTCCGTCTGGGGACCCTCTGATCCACCGACCAACAGCCTCCCTGGTGAACAAGACACGGTGGTGGTAGAGCAGCCCAGCAGCGTCGTCGTCGTAGCAGACGAGAGTCAGCATCTTGTCTGCGTCTAGAGTCCGATCGACCGTCGCCATGCCTCCACCTCCTCACGGGGCGCTGGTCCCTGCAATGCGGCAGACGTGGACGACCGCACCACTCGGCGACGCCCTCCGCACCTCCCGAACACGTAGCCGAGGAGCAAACACAGCAAGCTAAAGCTCACGGCGAACTCCAGAGGCACCGTCCGCCCGCCGCTCGGCGGGCCCGCAAGGGGTGTCGACGTGCCCGGGCACTCGGGACAACGTGGTGCTGCAGCACAGGTACAGGCAGGCGCCGCTGGGCACACCAGTGGGCGCCCCACCGCCTCCTTGACGATCTCGAACACGGGCTCGCAGACCTCCGCCGCGCCGGGCGGAGCAGGGCAGGTGCACTCGCACCTGGTCGGTGCGATGGCGTCTCTGGTGAGCGTATATACGAAGTGGGCGGTCGATGAATAGGAGAGGGCCCACTCGACCATATGCTGCTGACCTTTTCAGCAGAAAAAACTTGAGCACATTGGGCGATGGATCGGAGACATCAGTGATTGCTGCAATATTGAGCACATTGAGCACATTGGCCACGACTCATGCCGCAAAGAGACATCAGTGATTGCTGCAATATAAAAAAACGGGCCGCCCTCCAGCCGTGAGGCTCCTGCAGACTTCCAGAGCGAGTGTGCGCGGCGCTCACGCGAGCAGCTACGTGGTGAAAACGGGCCGCCCTCCAGCCGTGAGGCTCTTGCAAGCTTTTCGAGCGAGTGCGCGCAGCGCTCCAGCGAGAGCCACGTTTTGAGAACGGGCCGCCCCCCAGCCGTGAAGCTCTTGCAGAGTTCAGGCTTCGGGGTCAAACGTGGTGAAACATCTCCAGCGAAGCGCCGGGCCCGCCCTTCCGACCAGCCTCGGGGTGCGGCGGGGAGGAGTTATCTACAGGGAGAAGGGATGGCTGATAAGGATGCTGCTGCTGATGATGACGATGATGATGATGCTGATGATGCTGCTGATGATGATGCTGAGTATGACGATGATGATGCTGCTGCTGATGATGATTATGATGATGATACTGAGTATGATGATGATGGTGATGATGACGATGATGATGCTGATTATGATGATGATACTGAGTATGATGATGATGATGATGATGATGATGATGATGGTGGTGATGATGACGATGATGATGATGATGATGATGATGATGATGATGATGATGATGATGATGATGATGATGATGATGGTGGTGAGGATGATGATGCTGATGACGATGCTGCTGCTGATGATGATGAGGAGGAGGCGAAAGAGAAGGATGATGATGATGCTGATGATGCTGATGCTGCTGATGATGATGATGATGATGATGAGGAGGAGGAGGAGGAGGAGGAGGAGGAGGAAGAGGAGGAGCTTCTCATCCTCCGTCGCTCTCCAGCAATGAACGGATGATGGTCCGCCAAGGGGGCCCTGAGCGGGCGCCCCAAAGGTCCGATATGGCGAGGAGCTGACCGCCTCGATGCTGCTCGAGCCGCCAGATGCCTTGGCCCCCTCCCTCCCGGCTCGGCTGGTCCCTCCCTCCCCTCCTCTCCACCCTCAGACCTCCGACGCCATGATCTCTTCACAGGATGGACCGTGGACCTCCGAAGGTCTCGAGACCCACCCCGGGGCGGAGTTCCACCCCGAGTCGTTTTAAGATGGTCCCAGGGCCGGAAAGGTCCAAGGCCGAAGAGTAGCTAAAACCGTCCGTTGCGTTTTGGTTTGGTGTGTCTCACGACGCAATGAGGTCTGGATTTCGGGCCATAACATCGGGTCTCCAGCGGCCATCCGGGACGATTCGGGCAACCCAAGAACGCTCTCGCTGAGGCGCAGCTGCAGAGAAGCATCCCCAGGGCTGGGCAACCTCCAAGAAGGACTCCCGAGGAGAACGCCCGAACGCTCCGACGCGCCGCGCCCGAGCGCCGACGAGACATCACCCGAGATCGAGGGGAGGCCTGGGCGCCTGCTCCCCCCCCACCCCCAGCTCCCCCGGAGCCAGCGCCGCCAGGTGTGGCACGACGGCCGTGGCGTCGAGGCCCCCCTCCAGGGCGGCCCGCAGCGCCCCGTCGACCTCCTCTCAGGGGACGGAGGGCGGTGGAACATGGTCGGCTCCTCCGTCGGGGACGCCTGCCCCAGAGGGCGGCTGGAACGTTCATACCCCTACAGAGGCACGCCGGGGTATAACCTTTCTCCAGCCGCCCTTGGGCAGGCGCCTTCGACGGCGGAAACTGTTGCAGATTCCCCAAGTAGGCTTGCCTTAGGGGCTCTTACTTGTTTAAAAGGTTGGCGCCTCGGGGGCTTTCCCTGCCCGTTCCTCAGAGGTTCCTCGGGTTCCTCGGGCTCCTCGTTCCTCGGATTCCTCGGATTCCCCGGGTTCCTCAGATTCCTCGGATTCCTCGGATTCCCCGGGTTCCTCGGATTCCTCGGGTTCCCCGCCCCCGGTGCCTCGTATTCTTACTGTGCCTGTTCCAAACAATGCCAAGCAGTGCCAAGCAGTGCCAGGCATTGCTATAAGCAGTGCCGAGCAGTGCCAAACAGCGCCGAGCAATGCCAAGCACTGCGCCCATGCAAGAGGAAACCTTCCCCTACTTGGGGTCACGCCGCTTCACTTTACACCGTTCTCCGTCCGCTGATCCTCCAGCGCCCGCTCGTCGGCCGCCCCTGCGGCCCTGCAGAGGCCCGAGAGGCGCGCCGTGCGCAGCAGCGCCAGCAGGTCGTCGGTCGTCGCCCCCGCCTCTCGGGGCAGAGGCCAGGGGCGCGCACCAAGGGGGTGCCGTGCGGAGAGGGGGGGGGCTTCTTAGGAGGCCATGGGAGGAGGAGGGAGGGGGGGGGAGGGAGGGAGGAGGGAGGGGGGAGGGGAGGGAGGGAGGGAGGGAGGGAGGGAGGGGAGGAGGGAGGGAGGGAGGGAGGGAGGGAGGGAGGGGAGGGAGGGAGGGAGGGAGGGAGGAGGAGGAGGAGGAGGAGAGGAGGAGGAGGGAGGAGGAGGGAGGAGGAGGAGGAGGAGGAGGAGGAGGGAGGAGGAGGAGGGGGAGGAGGAGGGAGGAGGGAGGAGGGAGGAGGGAGGAGGAGGAGAGGAGGAGGAGGAGGAGGAGGAGGAGGGAGGAGGAGGGAGGAGGGAGGAGGGAGGAGGAGGAGGAGGAGGAGGAGGAGGAGGAGGAGGAGGAAGGAGGAGGAGGAGGAGGAGGAGGAGGAGGAGGAGCAGAGGAGGCAGGAGCAGGAGGAGGAGGAGGAGGAGGAGGAGGAGAGGAGGAGGAGGAGGAGGAGGAGGAGGAGGAGGAGGAGGGGGGAGGGAGGAGGGAGGGAGGAGGGATGAGGGAGGAGCAGGGAGGAGGGAGGAGGGGGGGAGGAGGGAGGGAGGAGGGAGGGAGGAGGGATGAGGAGGATGAGGAGGAGGATGAGGCAACGGTAGGGGGGGGAGACTGGCACATGGGAGGAAACATCGATCCGGAGTCGGCGATGCATCGCCGAGAGATCGGCGGTCGGCCCCCGACAACGAATCCGCACGTTCCTGGGCAGGGTGGGGCTATCCGGCCCCTATCCGCGATCGATGGGCGATTGGGGGTCGATGCGTCCCCCCCATGCCTATCCCCCCCTATCGCAAGGGGGCCTCCAAGAAGGCTTCCTAGAAGCCAGAGGGGGCTTGGGACGCCCCCTCTGCCTGCTTAGCAGATCCCCCGCCTTCTTGGAAGGGACCCCCTCTCGCGTTACCCCTTGTTATGCGGGCCGCCGAGCAAGGCTCTTGGGGCCCTCGCTGGGCCTGGGGCCCGTGAGCAATGACTCGGAACGGAAAGCCGTTCCCCGAGAAGGGGTCCAGCCCTTTGTGTGTTAGGTCGGGCATGTCCTCCTACAGGCGGATCTTGGACCGAAATTAGAAACATACTCCCAAATAGTCACAAAGTCCCCGGACTATTTTCATACTATTTTTGAAGACTCCTCCTGTGGAGGGACATGCCCGACTTAACCTTTGCGGCTTAACGTTGGGAGGACATCACGACGCTCGGGGGTCTGGGAAGAGTTGAGCAGGGACCGACCGTCCCGGCATTCCTATAGTCCTACCACGAAATGTTCTTAGAACCCAAACATGTTCTAATAAGAGCAAAACCAATGCTCTTATAACATGAACCCGCTGTGATCAAACAAGACAGGCTCCAGCCAGACATGTCCTGAGAACATTCCGTGGAAACCACAACAGGTTCCTAGAATATTGCTTGGTAGGGCCATCGGCGAGCCAGGACGCCTCGCCACTGCTTGGACGAGGGGGGGGTAGCGTTAAGTCGGGCCTGTCCCCCCCAGGGGGATTTTCGACGAACAACAAAAAAAACCCAAAATAATCCAAAAATAGTCTGGGGATCATTTTTTGAACCTTTTTTGGCCTTTTTGGGGGGCATTTTTTGGGTATTTTTCATTTTTCGTCGAAGAATCCCCCTGTAGGGGGACACTCCCGACAGAAGGGTAGCGCACCATTTTGCCCGAGGCACGTGCACGCACGGCGCGGGGCCAGGGGAAGCGCAACACACCGAGCGGGGACGCTGGGGCCGCGGGCTGTGGGAGGCACCGCGGCCCCGGCCACGAGGCTCACCCCCACGCCCCTCCAGTCCAGACGCTCCAAGGCAGCCCCAAAACGGCCCAAGAAGCTGCCAGGAGGGCTCCAAGACGGCCCAAGAAGGGCCCAAGATGGCCCAGGAGGCCCCCGGAAAGGCCCAAGAGAGCCCCAGGAAGGGCCCAAGAGGCGCCTGAGAGGGCGCCAAGACGGCAGAAGAAATGCCGAAGACGGCCCAGCACCCCCTCCCCAAACTCCCGACGTCACGATCTTCCCCACCCCCTCCGCCGTCACAGCAGGGGGAGAGGGGGGGGGGGTTCGAAGCTCCCTCCCCCCCCTCCATCCAGGGGGGGGGTCCGGTTTCACCCCCCCCCCTCCCCCTCCAAGCGACCACAGAACGCGCTTTTTCTGATCTTTCAACAGCGTTGACCCTCGGAGGTCCCCGGAACAATTTAGCGGCGGCCCTGGGCCCGGCGAGGGCCGCCAGAGGCCGAAACGAACCGCAGCCTCCCGCCGAGCTCTCCGCACGACGCGAAGCTCGGGGGGCTCCGGGCCTTCGCCGCCCCCATGGCCGCCTCCAGGCCCGCGAGGGCTGCCGGGCCGAAGGCCACGGGCACGACCATCGCGGCGTCGGCCATCGCGCGCCTCAGCGCTGGCGCCGCCGCCTTGTCAGGGGGACGTAAGACCTGGGTACAGGGGACTCGGAAATCCCCGACGAGGTCGTCAAACAAATGACGAGGCCGAGCCTGCATTTTGACGAGGCCTCCCGCTGCAGACATCCCAACAAGCTCCTCCTCGTCAAAATCCGAGGCGCGGTCGTCAAAAAACGATGGCGAAGCCGAGTCCTGGCAAACCCGGGTCTCACGCTCCCCCGACCTTGGCGCCCACGGGCTCCAGCCCGACGCGCAGCGCCGCCCGCGCGGCGAGGGGCCCGGCGACGAGCGCCACCAGCGAGCCCAGCTGCCCGTCGGCCTCGGGGGGGCGCGGCGCGCCGCCCCTGCGCACCCGCCACGGGGCCGCCAGCAGCAGGCCCAGCAGCCGCCCCCACGCCGGCAGCCCCTCCCGGGCCGCCGCGTCCTCGCCGCCCCCCCCCGCCGGTGGAGCAGGGGCCAACCTTGCCAGAGATCGAGCGCACAGAAAAAATCACGGCGGAGGCTTTTCGCCGTTTTCGGCCCCTCGGGGCCTTCGCCGGGCCTCGGGGCCGTCAGAAAACAACTGGGCATGAAAAACTGGTCCCGGGGAATGGGTCGAGACTTCCGGGGACCCCGCACTGAAAAAATCACGACATCGTATGTCTGGGTTCCCGGCATTCCTGTAGGCCTGCCACGAAGTTTCCTCAGAACCAAACAGAGCCGTTCTCATAGCAAAGAGCAATGGTCTTAGGCCACAGGCCCGCTGCGCCGAAACGAGGCAGTCCCAGCCAGACACGCTCTGAGCACATGTCGTGCAGACCGCAAAAGGTTCAACGCCGGATCGTTCAACGACGGGCCGATTCTGGGCCACGGGCGGCGTTCGACCTGTTACACGCACGCGCTGGGGTCGCCGCCGGTCGACCCGACACGAACCTGCCGTACAGGCAACCCAGACATGCGACGTCCTGATTTTTTCAGGACGGCGTCCCTGGAAGTCCCGACCCTGTCCTCGGGACCGGTTTTCCATCCTGAGTCGTTTGTTTGACGTGCCCGGGGCCCGGCGAGGGCCTCCAGGGGCCGAAAATGATCAAAAACCGCCCGTCCTGATTTTTCGTCACGACGCCATCAGGTCTGGGAAGCCAGGGCGCTTCGCCATTGGTCGGGCCAGGCGCGGCCCTGGGGAGCGCGGGGCGAGGACCGGATGGGGGGCTTCCCTGGCCAGGGCGGGCCTCGGCCACGAGCGGGCTCCACGGCCTGATGGGGGAAGGAGCGGCAGGAGAACCAGGGCCCCCTTCTGAGCCCCAAGAGTGGTGGGAGGAGGAGGAGGAGGAGGAGGAGGAGGAGGAGGAGGAGGAGGAGGAGGAGGAGGAGGAGGAGGAGGAGGAGGAGGAGGAGGAGGAGGAGGAGGAGGAGGAGGAGGAGGAGGAGGAGGAGGAGGAGGAGGAGGAGGAGGAGGAGGAGGAGGAGGAGGAGGAGGAGGAGGAGGAGGAGGAGGAGGAGGAGGAGGAGGAGGAGGAGGAGGAGGAGGAGGAGGAGGAGAGGAGGAGGAGGAGGAGGAGGAGGAGGAGGAGGAGGAGGAGGAGGAGGAGGAGGAAGGCCCCTCCTGAGCCCAAAGCGGTCCTTCTTTCAGCGACTCCGCTGTAAGGCGAAAGCAGGACGAAGTCAAAATAGGACGAAGGGAACTCGGGAAGCCGACAGAGCCGTATTTTGACGGTCCGGAGGCCCGGCGAGGGCCCCTGGAGGCCCAAATTAGCCAAAAACCTCGCGCTCCGATCTTTTGGAACGTTGGATATCTGGGGACGCCACCCACCACCCCCAAGGCGCCGAAAACGATCTGAAACAACTCCTTCGCGGCTACTTTTGGGACTCTCGCGAGAGGTCTAGGTCTCAAGGTCAAGAGGGAGGAGAAGAATGAGGAGGAGGGGGGGAGGAGGAGGAGGAGGAGGAGGAGGAGGAGGAGGAGGAGGAGGAGGAGGAGGAGGAGGAGGAGGAGGAGGAGGAGGAGGAGGAGGAGGAGGAGGAGGAGGAGGAGGAGGAGGAGGAGGTGAGGAGGAGGAGGAGGAGGAGGAGGAGGAGGAGGAGGGAGGAGGGAGGAGGGAGGAGGGAGGAGGGAGGAGGGAGGGGGGAGGAGGAATCTGAGGAGTTGGTTTTCTAGTGTATTGGTTGACTGGTGCATGATCGGGGGCCAGGATCTCCGTGAGGAGTGTCGAAAGAGTGGCCCTCCAGCGGGTGGCAGTGCTTGCCCATCTCGCACGCGCTTCCGTCTGCCATGAACAAGAGATGACGTCGGTCTCCAGCTTCGCCTCCTGCATCTCGCTCAGCAGCGCTAGCGCCGGCTGCCACTGCCCGCCCTTCTCGCAAGCGCTGATCCCAGCGCTTTAGCTGATGACGTCGGGCTCCAGCTTCGCCTCCAACATCTCGCTCAACAGCGCCAGGGCCCGCTGCCACTGCTCGCCCTTCTCGCACGCGCTGATCCCAGCGCTGCAGCTGACAAGAGTTGACCCGTGGACTTACGTCCACGACAGCTTATGTTGAAAATGATCAGGTGCTGCCTGACCTCGTATGACCACACATTAGCTCGAAGAGCTCGCCCAACGATATACACTAGCCGGGTCACGTAAGATTCCAGAGGCACCACAGTCGGCCATGTGATCAGCTCGCTCGTTCAGAAATTGCCCAGTATGGCTCTCAACCTTCCTGAAGACAGCACGACTAGCAACCTGATCAAAGATATGGCGAAGACGCAAAACAAGCTGAATATTCGCCCGGGCTCGGATGTGTCGCTGTGCCACGCCGGCGGCATAAGCCGAGTCATACTCGACCACAATCGATGATGAAGCGGATGATGAGGCAATGGAATCACGAATCCAACATAATGTAAACTATAACGCCGATGATTCACCAACATTGTTTGGGTGACGTTGAGCACTGATATATCCCTGCTGAGCGGGGTCCAATATTGTGGGGCCGCAAAAGTCCAATAACCCAGCGAAAGCAGGCACGGCCACGGTGAAGGCCCAGCCTGAGGTCGCATCATCCGAGGACTGCTGCGCGGAGCCGTCACAGGAGAGCGTGAGGACCTCCGGCGCTTCGAAAGAACCAGGAGCAGGTTGCGAAGGAAGATGTAGCCCTCTAGGTGCTCCTCCTCCTCCTCCTGTGCCCTGCCCTCCTGCATGCCGTTTGAGACGACGAAGAGGATGAGCGGCACGGTATATAGCATCTACTGGAAGCGCCCGTGGTTGATCCAAGGCCATGAGGACAGGCTTGCCCTCGCGCCGGGCCACCACGGCCAGCGTGGCAGTAGCGTTCGCCCGTAGAAGATAATCAGATATGGCCTTCGCCTCCTGCAGCCCAGGGACTGGATCGACTCCAAGACGGGCCAGCAGAAGACCACAACGGGTAAGATAAGGTGGTAGGCCACGAGGAAAGTCGTTGCCTGGTACTTGAAGATCAAGGAGTCGTCGCTCAGCAGAGTTGCAAGGACACTCCCACAAACGATGTGTCACTGTCTCGACAGCAGCGCCACAACGAGCACATAACTCATCGCAGTCGTGAAATGTAAGAGATTTTGAGCGATGTCCACAAGCCGCCCGCCGTCAAGGCCGGGCCGCCGTAGTGAAATTGCACTCCGTACTTATGTTCTCGAGCCTCCCAGTCCTCCGAGAGCCCAAGCTCCAGACTTCCGAAATCCTTCGGGTGTCGGGCCGCCTCCTGGGCAGCGACGCACCTGCGCAAGAATGTGCGGCGTCTGCGACAGCTTGCCCGCGTGCAGAAGCTGAGATCGCTTGCCTGCTTGCCTGCTGTTTTGCGCGCGTAGCTGGTAGCTAGACTGTTGTCTTCCGGACGTCACAGCCAGCATGCTGGCAGGCCTGTCGCAACTGACATTCTGCCGCACGCCACGGCAGCGGGGATGGCCGCCAACCGGCCGTGGGCAATGCAGCGGCTGCTTGTTTTCTGCTGCTAGCTAATGACTAATTGCTGCCGCTGCTGGCTTGTGTGCTATGGAGGCCGTGCTGGGGGGGCCCTACGGCCGAAACTACTGGGGGCCTCGTTGGGCCCTCTTGGGGCCGTCCTGGGCCGTCTCGGGGTTCTCTGGGGGTCTGTTGGGCCGTCGTGGCGCTCTCTGGAGGGCGTGTCGGGCCGTCTGGAAGCTCTCCGAAGCCTTCTGTATTATTCTGGGTGCCCTCTGGGGCCGCCCTTGGGCTCTCTTGAGGCAGTCAAAGGCCACCCAGAGGGCCCTAAGACGGACCGAGACGGCCCAAGGAGGCCCCGAAAACAACCCAGGAGGCTCGATGGGGGCCTCCAAAGGGCCCAAGGTGGCCCGCAAAGAACCCGAGAGTCTCCCCCGAAGCCGTCTTGGAGCTGTCTCGCGTCGGAAAGCCTGCGAAGCAAAAGACATACATCTTCCTTTGGGTGTTGGAAAGCTTTGCTGTTGCCGTGGTCTTCTGGACAATTCCTGCAAGGCCTCTTGGGGTGTCTAGGGCCGTCGAGGCGGCCTCTTGAGCGGCTCGGCGCCGTCTGTGGGCCGTCGGGGCGGCTGGGGTCCTCTTGGGCCGTCGTGTGTGCCTCTTGGGGCCGTCTGGGGCCGTCTTGGGCGCCTGTGGGGCCGTCGTGGGACGGTCTGGAGGCCCTCTTGGGCTATCTGTGGCCGCTCTTGGGGCCGTCGGGGGCCGTCAGGGGAGCCTCGATCTTGGGGGCCCGTATTGTCGTCGTGGACGCTTTCAAAACGATAAGCACGAGAATTGCGGAAATGTGCGTTTCACTTGGTTTGGGGACGATTTTTGCTTGTGCGGGCTCTCTCGGGCGATTTCTGGGAGCCCACTTGGGGCGTTTTGGGGGCCTCGTGGGTGCCTCTTGGGGCCGTCTTGGGCGCCTGTGGGGCCGTCTTGGGGCGGTCTGGAGGCCCTCTTGGGCCATCTGTGGCCGCTCTTGGGGCTGTCTTGATGCTTCTTGGGCTGTAATGGGTGCCACAGGAGCCGTCCTGGGGCCGTCGGGGGCCGTCTTGTGAGCCTCATGGGCTGGTCTGGGGGGCCCGAATTGTCGCCGTGGACGCTTTCAAAACGAAAAGCACAGGAGTTGTGAAAATGTGCGTTTTCCGTAGGTTTTGGGATGATTTTTGCTTGTGCTGGCTCTCGGGCGTCTTCTGGGAGCCCACTTAGTGCGTTTTGGGGGCCTCGTGGGTGCCTCTTGGGGCCGTCTGGGACCGTCTTGGGCGCCTGTGGGGCCGTCTTGGGACCGTCTGGAGGCCCTCTTGGGCCATCTGTGGCCGCTCTTGGGGCTGTCTTGACTGCTTCTTGGGCTGTAATGGGCACCACAAGAACTGTCCTGGGGTCGTCGAGGACCGTCTTGTGAGCCTCATCGGGGCCTCCTGAGACGTCTTGGGCCGATCTTGGGGGCCCGAATTGTCGTCGTGGACGCTTGCAACAAAAAAAAACACGGGAGTTGCGAAAATGTGCGTTTCTTCAGGTTTTGGGACGATTTTTGCTTGTGCGGGCTCCCTCGGGCGCCTTCTGGGAGCCCACTTGGAGCGCTTTGGGGGGCTTCTCGGGCCGTCTGGAGGCTATCTTGAGCGTCTTCCAGCGCTCGTGGACAATCTCGCAGGCCCTCTTGGACCGTCTCGGGGTCGTCTGGGGCCCTCGAGCCTCCGTGGGGAGGCCCTCCGAAGCCGTCGCGGAGCGCTCCGGGGCCGCCCGAGGCAATCGCGGAGCGCCCTGGGGCCGCCCGAGAGCGCGCCGGGCCCCGCCGGAGGGCTCTACTGCCATGTGATCCGCTTACGTGCGTAGTGTGTACGCGTGCTTGCTGCCACTGGCGGAGATGGCCCAAAGTGGGCCCAGATGGCGTGGAATACCTGCCCTACTATGATAGGGCAGGGCCCCAAAGATGGCCCGAAATGATCGCCGATAGGAACCGGAGATGGCCCAAAGTGGACCAGAATAGCGTCGAAAACCTGCCCTATCATGATAGGGCAGGCCGAAACCCGCCAAGAGACCTCTGGGGCCTGTTTCAGAAACCTCCCGAAGCTGTGAGCCCTTACGAGGCACAGCATGGCCTGATGAGGCCGCGGAGAGGGCTCCAGACCGACAAAAAGTGCGAGGGATTTTGGGCCAAATCCGGCAAGGAGCGCCGAACAAGCATCAGAGCCCCATGGTGCGCTGGAAGCCGTTTTGGGACCGTCTTCGGGCCGTGTTAGGCCGTCTTTGCCTGCTGTTGGTGCTGTCTTCGGTGCTTCTTCGGCCGCCATCTTGGGGCCTCTGGGGGTCGTTTAGGAGCCTCTCAGCGCTTCCTTTCGGCCTCCTCGAAGCCTCCTGGGGCCCTCTGGGGCTGTCTCGGGTGCCCCTTGGGCCGTGTGGAGGCGATCCGGGGCCGTCTGGGGGCCGTCTTGGGCGTCTCTGCAGCAGTCTGGGCACCGTCTGGGGATCGTCTTGGGCCGTCCTGGGCCGCTCTTGAGGGTGTCTTGGGTCCCCTGTGGGCCGCCAGGGGCGCCTTGGGAGCCGTCCTGGGGCCATTTTGGGCCTCTGTATGGCCGTCTTGGGCGCTATGAAGAGGGCAAGCCGAGAACTGCGACAACGCACTATTTCCCGAGGAAGTGGGACGATTTGTCGGTGTTCGGGCTCTCTTGGGGCTCGTCGTGGAGCCCACTTGGCGTTTTGGAAGCCTCTTGGGCCGTCTGGAGGCCGTGTGAGGCGTTGTCGGGGCCGTCTGGGGGTTGCCTGGGGCCGCCTTGGGCGTCTCTGGAGCAGTCTGGGCACCATCCCTGGGGGTCGTCTTGGGCCGTCCTGGGCCGCTCTTGAAGCCGTCCTGGGGCCATCTTGGGCCTCTTTATGGCCGTCTCGGGCGCGATGAACAGGGTAAGCCCGAGAGCTGCGAAAACGCATAACTTCCCGAGGAAGTGGGACGATCTGTCGGTGTTCGGGCTCTCTTGGGGCTCGTCGTGGAGCCCACTTGGAGCGTTTGGGAAGCCTCTTGGGCCGTCTTCGGCCGTCTGGGGGGGGCCCTCTTGGGGGCCCCCTCGTGCGGCTTGGAACGCTGTCCTTTTGGAAGCGCGCCGAGGCCTACTGTCGGGAGCGGCTAAGAGGGGGGTGTCCAAGAGGGGGGTGTGCAAATCATGACCGGCGGCATGTGCGCGGCCCAGCGGGGGGGCCAGGGACGTAAGAAAACGAGAAGAGGCGCCACGAAATCTGGGGAAATATCATGGCCCGCGCCATGATATCCACCCCCCCCTAGTCATCACCCCTCTCTTTTCCGCCCCCGATACTGGGGCTCGCAGGGGCCGCCAGAGAGGGCCGGTCCGCTGCCACTGATCCGCAGCTCCACGGGCGCCGGTCTGGCCTTTGTTCGGAGAGGTGGCGTTGGGCTCCAGCGTCGCGTGCCACATCTCACGGAGCACTGGCAGCGCGTGTTGCCATGGTCCGCCTCTTCGGCAGGCGCCGGCAGTCGCAACGTGGTGGCCTGAGACGAGTTGCACACCTAATCGCCCTTCTCGCACGCACTGATCCCAGCGTAGCTGATGACGTTGGGCTCCAGCTTCGCGTTCCAAACCTCACGGAGCACCGACAGCGCGTGCTGCCATGGTCCGCCTTTTCGGCAGGCGCTGGCAGTCGCAACGTTTGGCGGCGCGCACAGGGGGGGAGGGGGAGGGGGGAAGGCTTCTTAGAAGCACCCCTGCTTCTTAGAAGGCGCGGGCCGTGCCTACAAGTGCAAGGCAGGCGCCTTCTAAGAACCAGCCTCCTTCTAAGAAGCCCTCCCCCCTGCCCCTACCCCCCCTCTGCGCGCCGCCAAAACGTAGTGGCCTGGGACGAGTGGCACACCTAGTCGAAGTCCTTCGCGGGGCAACCGCAGTGCAGCGCTCCATCGTTCTATCCGACCGCAGTTTGATCGACGCTTCGAGGGGAACAGCGCCTTCTCGAGGCCCTCGGCGGGTGCCCGGCATCCGAGAAGGCAAGGCACCGCCGCTGGAGCCATGCTGCAAATACCTTAGGCCGCAGTGGCTTGAGCCAAAATGGCTGCGGGAAACTTCTGGGGGCGTCCAAGAGGGGTGGTCGCAAATCATGGCCCCAGGCATTTGCGCGGAAGGGCGGGTCCAAGGGATGCATTGAAAGTGGGGGCCACGAATTCCAGGGAGATGCCCTGCCCCCGGCCATGACCCCCCCTCCCCATACTGCTGATGGATGTTGGGTCGGACGTGCCGTCTTGTCTGATTTGTGTCAAATCTCGCCGAGCAGCGCCAAAGCCAGCTGCCACTGCTCAACGTTCCCGCACGCGCTGATCCCAGCGCTGTAGCTGACCAGGGCTGACCCGTGGACTACGTCCCTGCCAACACCTGGCAACTCACAGCGGAGCCCACGAAATCTGCGCGAGCTGGCATGTGCTAGTGGACGTGCTGCCGAAAGGCTGACATGATGACGTGGGGCCCGAACTCCGCATTCCGAGCAAGACTACTGCGTGCTGCTGCTGCCGCTGCTGCGTGCGCGTGCTGTTTGTAATGCGTACTTACCGCTGCTGCGTGCTCTTGCTGCTCGTAGCTGCAGGGTGCTGCTGATGTTGGGTCGGACGTGCCGTCTTGTCAAAATTTTGTTGAGTCGGAGGCCCTCTGGGGCGCCTCGGGGCTCCTGAATGGGTGGTCGAGAAGCTTGTTGAGAAGTTCCAGGATCGCCTGAGGCCCCCTGGGGCGCCTCGGGGGCTCCTGATCGGGCGGCCGAAAAGCTTGCAGAAAAGTTCCGGGATCGCCGGGAAAGCTCGCAGGGCGTTCCCAGGGGGAGCCCGAGAGGGCTCCTTGAGGGCATGGCGTTTCACGAGAAGTTGACAAAAATTGCTGTTGGGTCGGACGTGCGATTTTTGGTTAAATTGGAGACCCTCGGG